AGAGACAGGGCCTTCTACAAGGCTGGCTGGAAAGCACTGCCAAAAGTGTGTTCCTTCCTTCCCACTCCCTGAGGCCCTCCAAGAAAAGTCCAAAGGAGTTGCTCCTTGGAGAACTAGGAGAAGGAAACGGGCCCAGGTATGTGAGGCAAGATGCTCTTCACAGCCCTGGACTCTGGGGATTCACCAGCCTTCTCCTCAGTGGCCCTTCTCAACCCCTTCCGGTTCCCCTTCCTTTTCTCTCCCCCATTCTCGGTGGGGCAGGATGGTGGCTCAAGAATCCCTGGGGCATTCTTTGCCTCCCTATATCCAAGATCCCTTCCTCTGCTTGAGGCTCTGATTCTATCTTCAAGAAAGCACAAGGGACACCCGGCTGGCTCAGCTGGTAGAGCATGCAACTCTTGATCTCAGGGTCATGAGTTCGAGCCCCATGTTGGGCCTAGAGCTTACTCAAAGAAAGAGAAAAAGAAAACAAAAAAGCAGTGGATGTAGACTCCGCTTGGCCCTTGGTGGCTGCATACTCCTGGGAAGGTCACCTAGCCTCACGGGGGTTGCTTCCTCATGTGGAAAGCACGATGATATACATCTTTCAGGGTAGTTGGGAGGATGCATTGAGACAATGTCAGAAAGTCCAGAACTTAGTACATGTTCATTGTATGTAAATTAAAGGTGAATCAGAATGTCTCTTGTTTTTCTCCTGGCAGCAGCCCCTTGACTAAATGAAGAAAGTGGAATGCCTGGCCCAACGTCTGACGACAGGAGGGTGATAGAGGAGGGCCTCCGGGGCTCTCTGAGGAGACCCTCAGGAGAACTGGCCAGCACAACAAAAGAGAAGGCTTACTCTCAAGGGGGAAATGCCAAATACACAAGAGCATTTAAAAAAGTGAAACACGTTCATGGGTGACAGATTCATAATGGGATTATTGATTCAAACACACATCCTTTCTCTCCCTTGCATCCCCCGCACCCCCCTGCTCCCTCCAAAAATTGTTGCTGACTGCTGGGTAGTGACTCGGGGAGGAGGCTAATGGGGAGAATGACTTGGCTGCAGCTGGTGCTAAAAATGACCAGCACCAGGGCAAAGGAGGGAGGTGGCCTCCTCCCTCACCTGGGTCTCCCTCCTTGAGCCTCAGTGTCTTATTTGTCATGAGAAGGACAGAATATCTGACCTGTCAGAGAAGTTGAGTGGATTCAGTGCGGTGAGAGGTCTGGCCCCCATTCATAATAATAGTATGAGCCATGATGTATTGAGTGCCCAGGATCAGGTACACACTCAGTGCTTTAAAAATATCACCTCCTTCAGTCACCGGTCCAAACTCCACGATAGCTGGGACTAGATCTGTCCTGTCCCTACCAGATTGCCAGTCCCAAGTACAATATCCTCCTGCAGGATGATAATAGTAACCAACACACAAGAATTTTGTCCCTAAAATAAGCGTATAATAAAATATGTCAGTATTTGAAAATTATGAAAAAAAGAACCTTATTTTGTACACTCACAGTAGAGCTTTATGCACATTTCTAACCTTCCTGACAATTCTAAGGAGTAGGTACTACCATTACCCCCATTTTATGGATGAGGGAACTGAGGCACAGAAGGCAGAGAGAAGTTGGGTAACTTTCCCAAGGTCACTAAGTAGGTGACAGAGCAGGAGTCTGAACCTGGGCAGTCTGGCTCTAGAGTCCATGTCCTTGACAGCAGTGCTAACTCAGGGGGTCAGGGGGTGCTCCCCGATCTAGTACCAGGCTGTTTTATAGGTAAAGCAATCAAAGCTAAGAGAGAATTTAATGGTTGGCTCAAAGCCACAGAGCTGTTAGGTGGCAGACCCAGGATTTGGACCCCGTGTGTCCTAGCTAAATGTCTCCCAAAGGGTACATTTCACTCCCCCCACCTCCATCCCTTAGGTTCTTAGACAGCACCCACCCCCACCAGGAGTCTGTCAGAAGTTCAGGTCTGAGGGTGGGCCTGGCTTCAGGCTGATGCGGGGCCCTCCCTCTACCTGCAGTCTCTGGGAAGGTGTCTCTCAGAGAGCCTGGGCTTGCCCCCATCCCCAACCTCCTTGGTCAAGGTGGTAACCATCTCCCTGGGGCAGGGAACCGGCAGCCTCAGATACAGGGTTCGGTCAAGAGATTTTTCATCCTCATCTCCGGGCAAGAGCCGAGCTTCCATCACTCACACGCTGTTTTCCATCACTCACATCCTTGCCCATTGGCTGGCATCTGGCTCATCGTGGATGTCCCGTGATAAGTAAGCAACATGACAGATGCCATTAACACAACATCCCCATTCATCCTTCCAGGGTACGCTGGCATGGAGAGGAGGTCAAGAGAGGGATGAAGTCAAAATAGAACAGCTTTTGACACCAGACTCACTTGAGGTTGAGTCTGGCCTCTGCCGCTCATTAGCTAGGTCACTTGGGACAGGTTACCTAACCTCTCTGGGCACTTAAGTTTCCATATTCATAAAATGAGGATAGAAATTCTTACCTGAGGGGCGCCTGGGTGGTTCAGTCGGTTGAGCATCTGCCTTCGGCTCAGGTCGGGATCCCGGGGTCCTGGGCTTCCTGGACCGTTGGGCTTCCTGCTCAGCTGGGAGCCTGCTTGTCCTGCTCCCTCTGCCCTTCCATCTCTGCTCCCCACTCATGCTTTTTCTCTCACTCTGCTCTTTCTCTCTAATAATTAAATAAATAAATAAATAAATAAATAAATAAATAAAATCTTAAAAAAAAAAAAGAAAAGAAATTCTTACCTGAAAGGCAAAGCCATTGCTTTGCACAACTCTAGGGGGAGCCACTCACATTGTCTATGTGAGTGGTGCCACATGGAACCCAACTCCATAGAATACAAGGTGAAGGATGCCTCAAGATTGCACATCCTTGAGTCTGCACCTTGCAAGTAAGAATGGCTATGCCGTGTACATCAGCTATACTCAAAAAAAAGAAAGAAAAAAGAAAAAACAATAGCTATATCAACTTTCAGATGTGGAACCAAGATACCAACAGGGTTCTTGTGAGGACAGAGGTCATGTCACATAAGGGGCTGAGCAACGTAAGTGCACAGTAGGAATGGCATTATTATGGGACAAGGAGGCAGCACTCTGAGCGAACAGTACACCCCTCCCAGACGCCTCCTGCACTGAGAAATCCCCCAGCCCAGGTCCAGCTCTTGTGTGGACCCGGCCAGAGTGAGTGGAGACCTTCCTCATAACAGCCCTGATAGCAAGGCCTCCGCTTCCATCCCCTACGGGGTCTCCTTGCGCCTCTCAATATGGCCTCATGGCAACCACAAAGTCTACGAGACACCTTGGCGGCCGGCTGGGTGAGGAGGTTTCAATTTATTTGGGGGTTTGCAGCTGACTAGCCAAGAGATCCTCAATGGAATCTCTCCCCCAGCCTGGTTTTCCAGTCTTGGCCTAAACCAATTGACCCTGTCTTTATCTTGCCTCATAGGGTGACTTTGATTCAAGAAATATTTAAAGCAATCAATTCAACCAACTTTATTTGTGAAACAAGGAAATAAAAGCTACTCCTCCCAAGAAAGCAAGCAAGCATGCAAGAAAGAAAGCAAGAAAATTGATTTAAGATCTAGTATGTATTAGGCACAGTAGAGAGGAGAATGTCAAGGTAAACAAGACAGTCCCTAGCCCCAAGAATGTCACAGAAGACTTAGCCGAGCTGGTGGAATGCTGGGACTCCGAGGTCCATGGCATGGCAGGTGTGTGTGCGCGCGCGGGCGCGCATGGAGAATCACCTTCACTTGACATTTGGGCCCTATGGGATCCTGCTCCCCGCAGAGCCTTCAAGCAGGAAAGCAGTGGCTTCATTGCCCACTTTGGGAATTCAGCTTTTTCTCCAGGCAGGGTCCTGCCTCTCATCACTTTTCAACTGGCCCACTTGGCTGCAATTCTGCAACTTCCAACACAGGATTTAGTCAAGGGATCCTGCTCAGCTGGGGACAGAAGTTCACCTTTTAACTGCCTCTAACGCCCTCTCTCCAGCCTGGTCCTCTACATCAACAATCCCATCCTCTTCGCTCTGTCTGCTCAGTGAACTCGGAGGTATAGCAAACCCCTTGCCTCCTCTATCTGGTTTACAACAGGGCCCCTAGCTCCGAGCTCAGAGCTGGTAAGGTGCTCAACGAATGGATGGAAGAATGCATGAAGTCCTTCCACGGAAGTTGAGCACACTCATGCTTATTCTAGGAAGATCTTCAGATGCCCACGGGTTTTCTCCAGAAGAAATCACCACTGTTCTCTCCCGCCAGGGACCCCTACTCCTGACCCCTTTATCGTTCATTTATTCATTGGGCCAATGTTTACTGAGGAGTTCTTCTGAACTAGGCACTTTATCCTGTGCTGCAAGGCATGTGTGGAGCTCTTCCCACCTATACATCTCCCTCTTCACCCTCCGAGCCCTCTCTTCTCCCCTTGCCACCACACACCCTGTCCAGGGCACCTGCCCCCTTCCTTGTTCTGCCTTTTACACAAGGATCCCATATTTGGGCTTCTTTGACCCTGCCAATCTGCACTGGACTTAAGGGAGGGAGGAGGACTCCCAGTCTCTAACATCTGCCCTCAGCCCATCCTCCCACCCCATCCCAGGACATGTCCCAGCCAGGCTCTGCCCAGAATCCCAAGCCACCCAGCCTCCTGGAACAGCCCTGAACCTTGTTGTCTCATTTCAGCCCCTGGGGTCCCTGCCCATGGGCGTCCTGCTGAGTCCACCCGGTGCCCGGCCCCCAGCGCCCTGGCCCCTCGGTGCTGCCTGCGGCGGGAGCTGCCAGCTTTTTGGAATTCCTAATGCTCCTGGCCCCGGTGATTGGCTGCTCAGCTCTGACCCCACTTGGGCTGCCGCCTGGTTGGATAAAAGGGGAATCTCCTTGGGGCTCCAGAGCATTAGACACCGGAGGGGGCACCTGGGACCAACTTCGCGAAGCGGGGAGCCCGGCGGGGGGGTGGGGGGAGCAAAAGACCTGCGGCCTCAGCCCCTCCAAAGAGCCGGGAGATGACGGGGAAAGCGGGGGAAGCGCTGAGCAAGCCCAAATCCGAGACAGTGGCCAAGAGTACCTCGGGGGGCGCCCCGGCCAGGTGCACGGGGTTCGGCATCCAGGAGATCCTGGGTTTGAACAAGGAGCCCCCCAGCTCCCATCCGCGGGCTGCCCTCGACGGCCTGGCCCCCGGGCACTTGCTGGCGGCGCGCTCCGTGCTCAGTCCCGCAGGAGTGGGCGGCATGGGGCTGCTGGGGCCCGGGGGGCTCCCCGGCTTCTACGCGCAGCCCACCTTCCTGGAAGTGCTGTCCGACCCGCAGAGCGTCCACTTGCAGCCGCTGGGCAGAGCGTCGGGGCCGCTGGACACCAGCCAGACGGCCAGCTCGGGTAGGTGAGGGCGAGGCTGCCGGGCTGCCCGACTGGGGGCGAGAGCCGGGAACCCCACGCCGTCGGCTTTCGCTTGCACCGCAAGGCCTCCTCCCCGCGCAGAAGTTCGCGCCAGGCCGAGGGGTCGCGGCTCGGGCCTGGGGCCGGCGCGCCCGCCTGCTTTCGGCCCCGGCGTTTCCGGCCTCCGCGCCGTTCTCTGGTCCCCGCGTCGGGCCCCGCTCTGCCGCGGCGCCGGGTGGGGGCCCCGCCGGGAACCCGGCTTGGGGTGTCGGGGCCCGTGGGGCGGGCGGGGCACCCCCCACCCCAGCTCCGCTGCTCCACTGCGGCCCCGGCCTCCCGGAGCCGATTCTGTTCCGTGCGCTGCCGGCCCAGGAAGCGGGTGCCCCAGCCTTCGGCCCCAGCCCTGGAATCCAAAGTTGTTGTTCCTTCCTCTTTTTCGCCGTTCCACAACGCCCACGTTGGTCAGCTGGGGTTTATTTTTCACCCCACGAGCTTGGACACCCTGGCCTCTGCGGCGGCAGGAGCGGCCACCATCCGATTCCACCTAAACGCCACAATCTATCGGATGCCCCGCCCGGCGGGCTCGGGGGCCCCGGGGTGACCCCACCGCGCCCTCCCTGGACTGCCTTCCCGGCCGTGCGTCCCCACCCGCTCGGCCTCCGGCTCGGGCTCGCGCTCGGCAGTTCCCCCGATTTTTCGTTATCTTTGTATTTATTTATTTATTTATTTATTTATTTTTATTTGGAGGGGCAACGAAAAGTGGCGCGTCGCAGCCTCTCCAGTCTCGAGCGGGGGCGCATTCTGCAGGCCCTGAAAAGGGGGCTGTGCCCGGGGAGACCCCAGCGCTTCCCCGCGCCCGGCTCCCTGCGCCCGGGCTCCGCTCCCCGGGGCCAACTTTCGGGCCCGGGGCGCCGGGGCTGCAGGCGCGGGGCAGGGCGCAGCGCCGGGATCCCCGCCTGCCGGCCCTGCGACCCCCTGAGGCTGCCTCGCTCCACCGCCGTCCCTGCCCCAAGCGCCTTGGGGCCTTTGCCTCTCTTACAACGAAATCTGTTCAAAATCTCCGGATTCGGGCGCCGGCGTGGGTAGAGCCAGCCGGGGCTGAGGGATAGGGTCGACCTCTCGGAGGGCTCCCCCGGCAGGCAGAGCAGGCCCCCGCCGCTCCCGGAGGCGGCCCGGGGTGGGGCCCTCGCGGGCTTCGGGCGCCTGACGTCCCCGGGCGCTGCCAAGCGCGCCCCCCATTCTGCCGCATGTGCCTCCGCCCGCTTTTCAGATTCTGAAGATGTTTCCTCCAGCGACCGAAAAATGTCCAAATCGGCTTTAAACCAGACCAAGAAACGGAAGAAGCGGCGACACAGGTAAGGCCCCTGCGGCGCTTTCTGTTACCTCTTTTGCTCACCCACTCCCTGCCGGATCCCGCGTGGGGGTCCGGTCGCTCCAACCTTATTCCCGCCGACTCCTAAGTTGGAAGTCTAAGGCTGCGCCAGGGCCGGGGAGACCGAACGTTGTTTGGGGACATCCGCCCGGGACCCTGGCGTCCAGCTACACCGGGTGAGGATGGTCTGTGGCCGCCGGGGGGGCTTTTTCCTTGTGCGGGAGAAAGGAAAGGCCAAACCAGGGCCGAACCGGAGCCAGGGACCGGCAGGCGGCCCCAGATTCGATCCAGGCATCAGCGCCTGCGGAGAGCCGCGGGGCAGAGCGGCTCCCACCTCCCGCCCAAGCCGGCCCCTCTGCCCGCTGCCCCGGGCCCCCATTCGGCCCCCGCCGTCCCTGTCCGCTCTGCCACACCCCTAGCCTTCTGCTCCCACCGTGCCACACATCCTGAGCGTGGTATCTCTGCACGGATGGGAATTTTTCGTTAGACTTCTGCTCTTTTGTGATCCTGAGGGGCCTCTTCCCTTCCGTGAGCCTCAGTTTCCTTGTCTGTAAAATGGGGAGGGTAAGTGTGTGGACTGGATGACCCCACCAGTCCCAGCTGGAGTCGAGTGGGCTGCACTGGGGTACCAGCTACAGAGAGAATTTTTAAAAAATAAGTCTTCAAATAGGCATTACTTGTACAACTTTAAAATCCAATAGGTGCTGAAAGGTATATCCTGAAAAGTAACACCCCCCCCCCACCCCAGACGCTAATTCCCTTTCGCCTCCACACCACAGCTACTAGTTCCTTGTGGAAATTTATGAGGGGGTTTTAAGGCAATAAAGAAGCCAGAACCAAAAATCTGCCCGACTTTCTGCGAGTGCTGCTTCCAGAGTCCTCCCCTGTGCTCACCCTCCCCCCATCTGTTTCCCCAAATCTCTCCCTGCGCCCCAGTCCAGGTGGGGTGTCCGCAAGGTTCCTGCTGGGTCGCGGGTCATTTCTCCCCTGGGGAGCTCTCCCGGCTGCCACCCACCCCATCCTCTTCTCCCCAGTTTGTTCCCAGCCTCTTTGCACCCTTTCTCCGGGCACCTTTCTGCATTCCCCTCTTCCTTAGCTAGCCCTTGGCCACTCCACTATTGGCACCCACCTTATAAAATGGCTCTTCCTGTCCTCTAAGGGGCCAGTAGGTTCGGGCTGGAACAAGGGTGAACTCTGACTTGGTTTCTCGGTGACCTCGTTTATTCATTCCCTTCAAGCAGCATTTTTGTTGTGTTTAGCTTTGTTTTATTTTCAACGGAAACATTGATCCTGGGTCATTTTTTTTACATTCATTCATCCAACAAATATTCGTTAGAGCATCTTTTATGCACCCTTCTCATGCTGGTCCCAGGGTGGGTAATCCCATCAGCTTCCCCCCCACCCCTACCCCTCGAGCAGGGGCAGGGACGAGGACCATGGAGGGAGGACAGGTCAGAGCTGGGGCTGCTGTGCTGGTGCGGAAATGGGGAGAGGGATTCACACAGCAAGGGGAGTCCAGGAGAAAGCATCCCCTGGGTGCTGAACCGTGTTTCTGCTCCAGGACATCTCTTCGTGTGGCAGCTGGAGCTGGCTGACCCATAGCCCAAAGTCTCTGCTTAAGGCTCCGGACCTCTCCCCACTGAGGAGATGTTTGGGGATCCCAGTGAGACAGCACAACTCACCACCTGCCCTAGGTTTCAGGCGATTTCTGGTGTATGAAGAGAGCAGATTATTAGAGAGATCAGAATGGCTACTGATGGCCGGTGCAGCTTTTAATTAGTAAAATATATGTGTGTGTGTGTGTGTGTGTTTTCCTGAGCTTATCTCATTTGGGGATTTCAGGTAAGAGCCCCTGGAGTCTGGTAATGAGAGATGGGCATCTCTTTTTCTCCCAGAAACACGCTGGGCTTAGTAAGGGTCAGAGAGGGGAGTAGGGATGGAGCCGCGGCCTTGGGAGTCTCTTGGATTCTGGGCTTCTGCTCGTCCCTGCACTGGGAAAGCTCAGCTTCTCTGCAGACAGGATGCAATGGGCACCCGAAGAGTCTGGAGTTCTGCATGAAGCCAGGAGCAGGGTTTGGATCACATTTTGGGGATGCAGGAGCCTCCCTGGAGGAGCACACCAGCATCAACCCACAGATGAGCTCTGAGGCAGGCATGAGGGAAAGTTTAGGGGATTCTCGAGGTTTTGTTTTGTTTTGTTTTGTTTTCAGTGAGAGCCCTCCCAAGGGGAGACTGGCACTTGAACGACCTCTCATCCTCTCCCTTCTTTGGCTTTGGCCAAGCCACAACACCTGTGTGCCTTGATTTCCCTAGTTGTGAGAAGACTTACATACTTCGATTGTTTATTTTGACAGTCTGTTCAGGGGCCCTTCAGTAAGTGGCAAGAGCAAAATAGAAACGAGCAGATCTTCAAAAGTCTGAAGAATTCACTTTCTGTGTACATAAACGTTCCATTCCCCCCTCCCAAGAGAATAGGAGAAACAATTTAGAATCAAACCCGTCATTTTCTATAAAGCGCAGAATCTTTTTTTCTCACACATCCCCCGTGTCTTCCCCCAAGATATTAAAGCCGACACCACCATAAGGACCCAATGGGGCTTACACCTATACTTTTTCCTTGTGTTGGGTGAGGGTGAGAGTGAGGGCATCAGTGAAGGATTCTAACCCCGTGTGCTGGTCCCCAGGGTCAGATCCCAGAGGCTCAAGCAAAGAATGTACCATTTTTACAAGCTGGGTTTGTGGAATCGGGACTCTATTGCCCAGATATTGAACAGGATAAAGGTCATCTTGGAAGTTGGTGAAATTAAGCCTGAAAAGAGAAGAATTGGTGCCTATCAGTGGGTGTGTATGGCTTATGGGGAAAAGTGGGTCTGTGAAGCCCCTGATATTGGAGGTAAAAATTTGTGTTGGAGCATATTCATTTGCACATTGTCCTAGGGCAAAAGGATGTAGCTTTTGCCTGATTCTTAAAAGAGGTTTGGACCCAAATAGGTCAATGTAGACTGCTCTGTGGGGAGTGGGGGCTGTGTAGGCAGGCTCTCTCACAGTGACCTGAATGGAACCCCCCTGAATGGGGCGCCCCCTTGATGAGTGGCTGAGCCTAGGTGTGAGGTGGTTGGAAGGTGCTCCTTGTCTTCTGAGCACAGGAGGTGGAGGGGGAGATCTGAGGGCAGCTCTAAGGAGCTAGTTGTTCTGGGTGGTGGCAGGGGAAGGGCAGGTGAAGAGGGCAAAGTGTTGGGATGCATGGGGAGGTGGGAGATTCGATTCTTAGCCGTTCAAACACTGGGGTTGCAGTTGCATTTGACCTTCTGCTGGGTCTTTGAACGTGGGTGTCATTTAAAAGATCAACTTCTGTCTGTGAGAGGAAACTGGGAAGCAGGTCCCAGTGGGCCTGAGGCATTTATTTATCTGGTGAGTCGCTCACTCTGTGCTCGGGAGGAAGATGAAGGGCTTTCTGCAGTTTTCTAAAATTTTTGTCTCAACACCCTTTCCCCCAAATCACTTCCAGAAAGATTCCCAGTATGAAATGTCCCTGAGGGCTAAAATAATGTCCTCCTAAGAAGGGTAGTGTGGATCCTCAGCCTTGAATGAAGACGAGTCTAGAGGGTTAAGCTACTAGTGTGCGTGAACACATGTGAGCGTGAGTGAGTGTGTGTGGTGTGTGTGTATGTGTGAGAGAGTTCGTGTCTGATTGTGCTGAGCCAGCCCTGGGTTTGGGGTCTGTCTAGGACACATAGAGGAAGGTCATACTGTCCTCTCTGGAATAGTCTCTTTCAGTTTCTGGGTCCTGAGTGTCTGGTTTTGCTCCCCTAGGACAATCTTTACTTCCTACCAGCTAGAGGAGCTGGAGAAGGCATTCAATGAGGCCCACTACCCAGATGTCTATGCCCGGGAGATGCTGGCCATGAAAACGGAGCTGCCAGAGGACAGGATACAGGTAACAGAGCCCCGAGTCCCTGTCTCTCTTTCTGCACCCTCTGAGGCATTGACCGCCCCAGGCTCCTGGATACCCGTGACCCCATCTCCCATCCCCCTGCTATGGGTCCTTATGAAGAACAGTTCGGTTAAGCTGACAGGTACTTGCTGAACACCTACCACGTGAGGTGGACACTGGGGTGGGGCGTGGGGGACAAGGACTTAGATGGTGTGGCTGGCCTGCTGTTCCAGACTATAGGCTTCCTGAGGAGTAGGTCAGGCAGACCGTGAAGGGGCCTGTGGTGGGACGAGGAGTTCTGGGCAAGTCATGGGTTCTCAGGGGGGTCTCTGTCGTGGCAGGTATCTCCTAGGGATAGCTAAATGTCTGCTCCAAAGCCAGAGGTGGTAGAAGGGGAGAATGACTTCTAGCACTGACCCTATTCTGTTTCTCTTCCTTCCACTCCCCTGCCCCATGAAGAAAAGGTCACCCCTCCCTTTCTGTCTACTCCCCACCACCTCCATCCACCTGAAACTCCTTCCTCACACAGTCAGGCAGCTGGCCCTGCCCTGAGCTCCTGCTCGGGTCTGGCCTGGGGTGTGGCTGGGGACGCTTGCCTGCAAGTGTGGCTCAGTAAGTCCTCCTTCTCTCCTATAAAGAGTTGCTTTTTGTTTGTTTTAAGATTTTATTTTTAAGTAATCTGTACACTCAACATGGGGCTTGAACTTACAACCCCCAGGTCAAGAGTTGCATGTTCCTCTGACTGAGTCAGTCAGGCGCCGCCCCTCTCCTAGAGACTTCTGTGGCATAACCGACCCCTGGTCTGGACTGGGATGGTCTCAGCTGTGCTGGGCTCAGGGCTTCCTTTCATCAGCAACAAGACCTTTCCAAGGCCAGAACCCCCTCATTAGGCAGGAGTGGGTCTGCTTAATGGTTTCTCTGGGAGAAGATGAAGTTTGATGATTTTCTAGGTAAGGCCTCCATGAGGCAGAAGAATCGAGTTGGGTAGGAAGAACATTTCCAGAAGATTTGGGTTTGCCTTTACTGGATCACATCCTTAAGTGAAAGCTGCTTCCACCAGTGGAATGGTCCAGAGCAGTTCACTGCTAAGGCTGGGAAAAGTAAGGGGGAGAAGGGGTCCCGACTTCCTGAAACCCCTCCCAGTCAAGAGCCCTTGGAGGTGGGACGTGTGTTGGGGGGAGAAGGAACCAGATAAGTTGTGGGTTGCTTTGTGTCCTCTCACTGGACAACCAGAGAATTAGAAATGAGACATGAGCTACTTTTCCAGAAGGGTCTTCCTCTCCCTTGGAAATCTATTAGGAATTTCAGCCAGTGGCTTTAGACATTGACACAATAAGCTCAATTATTCATAAGCAGATTATCTGTTTGGTGCATTATCCATGGTGGCCTGGATCCATCATCCCTCCACCCAGTTGGTTCCAGTGGGGTAAGCCTGGGGTGTGGATTCTGAATTTGTGTGTGTGTGTGTGTGTGTGAGCCAAGGCCCAATCCAGTCAATGTGGTAACCCCTACCTGGCCTTTGTTTGCACAAAGTTGACTATTACAAGTGGCCAGGGTGGGGTGGTGGGCTGAAAAACTCTCCTGCTGGTAGGCCTCACACTGGCACTACTGGGACCAGTAAGAAGGAAGAGCTGCCTCTTGCGGTGGACTGTCCTAAAATCTGTCCGGCCGCGGTGGCGGTGGGTGGGAGGGCGTGAAGGATTCTGGGGAAGGCTCTGGCTCAGCCATTACTGCATTGCTGCAGACACCCCAGCAGGCAGATGCCAGGCTTCATCAAGTTGCCTGGGGGTGGGGGACATCTGTCGGTGGTGTCTGAAGCCACAGGAACCAGCAAGGAGGAGCTAGGGTGTGGAGTAAGCTGATTGCCCTGGGACTTCGAGGACTGTAGATCTGGGAGACGGAGCCGAGAATCTCTCAGAGTCTTTGAGCACCACAGGGTTCTTTGGCTACCAGCTGCCTCCAGAAGGTGTATGTGAGCTGTCACATAGCCTTGCCCCAGGTGGCCCGGGCAGTCTCAGCATGCATCAGCGACGATCACAGCTATCATTTACAGAGCAGTTTGCACGTGCCTGCTGTTCTGAAAACACGGCGTGCACGGGAGAGGCAAGTAGGCATAGTGGTTAGGGACGCTGTTTCAGAGCCAGACACAGCCTGGCTCCACCGTGCCCAGCTGAGTGACTGGACGAGTGACTTCAGCCTGCAGAGACCCTGATTCCTCATCTGTAGAATGGGGGTGATGGTGAGCCCCGCCTCTGGGGCAGATGCCATGAGCCACGTGTCGTCTGTTCTGAGTGATGCCTGGCAGGTGCGCCGTGCCCACTCCACTTCAGCACTGATCTCATTTAGTCCTGGAGATAACTGAGGAAGCGGAAACAGAGCAACTGGCCCAAGGCCACACAGCTAGGAGGTGGGCGACACAGGGCTCTAACCCAGGTCTGCGTCGAAAGCCCACACGTTCACCACCTGCCTCTTGAGTTTGAAGCCTGTGTTTTGACTTGAAGCTGGGGGGAGCAGAGATGGTTGGAGGTCAGGTGGGGACTGGTATTGACCTTCTTTATAAAAATAAGCAATACTTATTGAGTACCGGGCATTGTTCTAAAGAAAAAACCTCAAAAACTCACTCATAAAAAATTATTTTTTGAGTGGGCAAATTCTTGTATCTAAGTTTGTGGTTTGGCTATTCTGACTAGCGCTGTTCAAGTCTGCCTCTTTTAAATGGATCCCTGTCCAGGGATAGGGAACGAAGTTTGAAGGGATTCTATTCCAGAAGTTAGAAGATATGCAGTCTGTCTCAGCCTGGGGCACTTATTAGCATCACAGGGCAGCTTCTGAAAACACCCATGCAGGGCTCCCATGCCCAGCCATTCTGATTTAATTGCTTTGGTGCTGAGCCTTTGGCATCTGTATGTTTTTAAAGCTCTCCAGTGATTGTGGGCAGCCAGTGTAAAAAGGCTGGGTCAGAGGCTCTGGAAAGGAGTTTCTGCATTTTATGTGCATTAATATGAGTGGAAGGAGGTGGAGTTTGGGAGGGGACAGGGTAGGAGGAGGGACAAGGTGACTTGTCAGGTGTGCAGGGAAGGATGCTGCCCGGGCTGCTGGGCAATGTGGGCAAAGCCGCCCCCTACTGGACGTCAGAGGCTGCAGCAGGGCCCAGCTTCTCTGAGCCTGAAGCCGGGGCAGGAAGGGGGAGATGCTGAAATATGGTGTCAGGAATGCTGAGCGCATGTGGACGGTTAAGTCCTTAAATCACTGCCACGATGAGCTCAAATTAATCAGCTTCCAGCCCGAGGAGAGGAAGGAAGCTGGGTGAATGTGATGGGACCTGCCACATGGCTGACAGAGCCAGGCCGATGGCAGGAGGCAAGATCGGAAGGCAGGGCCTGGGGAGGCAAGCAACCGGAATGTGCAAAGAGCATCCATTGTACAAGATGTCTCCTTGAGGGGGGGCGATCCTGGGAAGACCACAGAGGGTCTCCTGGGAGACCTTTGAGGGAAGGAGCCCTGGGTATGGTGTCTTTTGGGGATGCCGGGATGGGAGCTTGCCGGACAGGAGCTGGGTGATAACAAGAGAGGCCATGGGCCCAACCATAGCTGCTCTATCCACACCGTGAGAGAAGTTGCTGGTAGGGTTGCCTGCTCTGCTCCAAGTGCGCTCTGTAGTAGGAAAGCACCTGTTTGGCAAGAACCCCTCCCCAGGTCCAGTCTGTCCTTGGAGGCACAATCTCTTGGGACCCTCGCTGACAGCTGGGGCAGGGGGGGGCTCCTGCCAGACCAGCTGTGTGGACCGGCAGAGGCATCCCACTGGGCTTCCGGATTGCTGCTAGGGCGCCACCTCTGAGGGGAGAAGCAGGAACCCAGACTCTTCCCCAAGCTGGAAGATCGTACCTGGAGTGCCAAACCCGGTGACCCTTGGTGTCACTTTGGGGCCCCTTCTCAGGCACTCAGAACCCTGAAGTGTAAGGCAGGGCTCTGGTCCTCACTGCGGCCTTGACGCAGTTTCTACTGAGGAGTTCCAGGCCTGACTGTCGCGTGAGAGGGGCGGTCTCCTCTAGAAAGTGGGCAGCCAGGAAAAGGAAGGAGCGAGGGACTAAAGGAATATTTGGGGCTTGCCAGAGCCAAGAGGCCAAGTAGGGAAAAGGGCCTAAATGCTTAGAAGGACTCTCAAAGGTAGGAGATGGGAGGACCTGGCTTTATATAAAAAATGTCGTTGAGAATTTGCTGGAAAGCAAAGCCTCATTTGTCGCATGTTTATCCACAGAATTCATCCAGCAGCAGGCTGGATGTTCTTATTATGTGCCAGGCATTTCCCAAGCACTATTATAGTTAATTTTTATAACAAACCTTCAAGGAGGTGGTATGACAGGACAGATGAGGAACCAGAAGCTCGAAAGGTTAAGAAACGGGCCCAAGATCACCAAGACGGTGGGAGGCAGGGCAAGGATCTCCAGCCGAGGCCTTCTAGCCCCTGATCACAGTCAACTTGCAGGGAGCGTTGGGCGCTGCATGTGTGTTCTCTCACATTTGGGCCTCAAGGGCCTGGAATACATGAGAAATGTGCCGATAGTCGCAGGGCTCTCTGTTTGGCCCGCTGGATGCCTAAAGGGGAAACAGGCTAGCTGTATGAAAATCGTATAGCTTGAAGTTTAGTTCTGTCCCTCTGCGCCTCTCCTGGAGTTATTATTATTTGCAGTCCAGCCTTGCTAAAGGGCCTGCGGAGGAGGCCAGAGGGGCAGGTAAAGCTGTTGATTAACCTGCCCTCTGTGCAGGCTCCCACTGGTTTTCTTTGCCTCCACTGAAAGAAAATAAGTAGCATTTTTTGAACACCTTCTATGTGATAAGCATGGGTTTTAGGAACTTTCACTTATTGCATTAATCCTCAAAACCACCCTGGAAAATAGGCACTATCTTATGTTTGAAGAGACTGAGACTGAGAGAGGGCAAGTCACTTGCCCAAGATCACACAGCAATTTCTGTCGCAGCTGGGAATTCCAGCTCAGGACCGTCTGACTTCAGCGCTTCTTGGGACCATCAAGTCCTGCACACATACTGGTTGCTTCCAGGAAGGGAAGAGAAAGGCAGACATGAGGAGTGGTTAGGCTCAATGCTAATCCCTTGTCCACTTCCCTCCAAGGCATCCAGCCACAGCTCCCCTGCCAACTGTCCTAAAAAGAAATGGTTTTGGCTGTCCAGGTCCCCTCAGCATCTGGTCTTCACAGAGAGCCAGGCGTTCCAGGAGCCCATAACCGCGGGTCCGCACAACTCCTGGTTTGAACGAGCAGCTGCACCAGCTCTCCCGGGAACGTCTGTGGGCAAAGTCTGATCTGCAGACCAGTTATTCATTTGCCCAAATTAGGAGACCCAGGAAAATAGTTCTGTTTATAGGCCCCAGAGAGCATCTGAATCCCAAGTCTGCACCCCCCCCTTTTTTTTTTTAAAGATTTTATTCATTTATTTGAGAGAGAGAGAGAGAGCACATGAGAGGGGGGAGGGTCAGAGGGAGAAGCAGACTCCCCGCCGAGCAGGGAGCCCGATGCGGGACTCGATCCCGGGACTCCAGGATCATGACCTGAGCAGAAGGCAGTCGCTTAACCAACTGAGCCACCCAGGCGCCCTGCACCCCCTTCTTTAGTGCTCCTGTAAAGATGCGGTTTCCATGTGAGAACCATGCTCCCCCCGCCACCCAAGCACCAATGCTCATGGAATCCAGAGGAAGCCAGGACAGTGCATCCTCCCAGGCATCCACACTGGGGTGGGTGGGGCATCTCTGCCTTTGTATACTCCCCAGTCCAGTGTCCAGGATCCATAAATCCAAACCGTGCCAAAAACACAGTTCTTTCCTAAGTGAGTCAGCAGAACTCACTAATGGCAAAAACCAGACCTGAATTTATGCTCTTTATTTATCCCTTTTAGCGTGCATATGCATATGTTTTGCTGCAGAAATCAAAACAAGTGAGTTTGGCTTCGGTGGGCCGCTGCAGCCAAGTGTCACGTAATGCGGTAATGCACCACCTCTTCTTTCTAAAATCCCAGACATTGTGGAGTCTGGTCCCATGGGTTCCAGTTAAGGGGCTGTGGTCTTGCTGTTTCATAATGCACTGCCTTCAGGCAGGAAGGTCATCTCCTGACTAGGAAGCAGATTTCTTAGATTCATAAAGAAAGCCTTCCCAGCCCTCTGTGGTCACACTTGGTGCCTGGAATTCCATCACCAAGGGCTTCATTCTTCTGTATTCTCTGAGAGGTGGCTGAAACCAGAAGTCACATTTTATGTGGCTCAGTCCTTTCAGATTTGTCCTCTGTGGGAGAAGGCAGCTTGTGCCAAGTGGGTATTTATAGAGGGCCACCAAGTGCTACTGGGAAGGAAGATGGGACAGGACAGAGGTCTCAGACGAACCGCAGGCACTGGGTCTGTCCGACAGTCGGGCGGAGAGCCTGAGGGACAGACAGGTGGCGCTGGGGAGGGATCTAAGCACAGCGTGGAGGCAGGCCGGGACGACAGGCGAGTTAGCCCGGGCTCGCATTGCTCATCTTCTCCGCTCTGTAGCCCGCGAAGCGTAGCCATCTAGTGGCTTTCAAATTGCAGAAACCCTTTCTTCGGCAGGGGTCACCCGTGGCGGTCCGGGTCCGGACCAGGGGAAAGGCCCTGCACAAGGGCTCCGCAGCTCTCCAGGAGGGCCCGAGCAGGAACGGCAGGTGCCAAAGCCGGTGGTGGCAAAGGTGCAGATCTCTGCAGGCGGCGCCACCCAGGGTGGACTGAGCGATCCTTTTCTACTGGGCGTGGCGAGGCCCGGGGCGTCTTGGGCCGCGTCTCTCCCATTTTTGTGCGTTCCTGGTTATTTACAAACGGAGAAATTTCACGACAGGGTTACACACATTTCTGTCCATTTAAAGGTGTGCGTAGACCGCGCGGTCTTTCCGCAGCCCCACACAGCGCGGGGCTCTTTGAGGGTCGTCGGGAGGGAGGCAGGGCTGCCGGGGCGCCCCCTGCTGGAGGCGTCCGGCCGCGCTCAGCCGCAGACTCAGGGCTGCCTGGGGCCGCCGGGGCTCTCACTGCGCCACATAGCGGCCGCGGCGGGAACGGCGGGGGCGCGCGGATCCGAACCCCTGCCCGGGCCTCCCGGCGGCGGAGGCAGCAAAGGGTTAAACTGTCAGCGGCGCGATGTTAAACAGGTGTCAAAGGCGCCCCATATATCTGCAGATTGAAATCAAATTCTTTGCCGTATAAAAAGATAAATTACCCAGGCGCTGCCGCGCGTCCCACTCATCACGCCAGCGCCAGACGGCAAGCAATTTTTTTTTTAATGTGCTAACGACCTAATCAAGCAATCAAGTCGGAGAAGATTGCAGAGTGACCCGGGCAGCCATCTGCCGGCGAGCCCCGCATTCATTTCCCGCGCCCCCGCGCGGGGTGGGGGCCGGGGAGGGAGCTGCCGGGGGGAAGAGGGGAAAAAATCCTAAACAAATTAACACCCAATTTTCCCCGTCTAATTAGTTAAATGAGATGTGTTTGGGGTCCCCCGGGGAGGGGGAGCGGCTCGCGGCGCGGCTCGCGCTGCCTCCGCAGCATTAATTAGTGCGGGTCAATGCCGCGGCTCCCGAGAGAGCAGCCGCTTTAATTTCCCGTGATATTTCAGTGCCTGAGGCCCATCGATTCAAACAGAAATTAACTTATTTTTCAATCAGCCCAGGGCTGCCCCTGGGGGTGACTCTTCTTTTGCCGCCTCCTGAATAGAGCTGGAGCAATTTTTCATCAAAAGCTGAAACCTCCGCCTCTGGGGACGGGGGAGGGGCCCGGAGGGAAGGGGGCGGGGAACCCGGCCGAGGCGAGGGAATGGAAATCGCAGAGGAAACTAATAGATTTTCCCCGAACCCGCCTCCGTCCTCCCGCGCTTCCCGAGGCGCCTTGGGCGTGTCGCCATCCCCGGGGGTCAGGGCCCGGAGGGGCTGCGAGGGGACGGGAGGGGGCCGCTGGTCGGGCCTCGGATCCTTCCAGAGCCCACCGGTTTCTCGCCGGCCTTTCACCTGCCTGAGGGACAGTGCAGCTGTCCCTAGCGCTGGCTCCTGCCAGCTGCCGGAAGTCTCAGGAAAGCTGCTTTGGGAGACCGAGAACTCTCCCTTCCCCCAAGCATGGCAGGGGCTGCTCCAAGCACGGGGCTGGAGCGCTGCTGACACCCCCAGGGTACCCCATGCCCTGCACCAGTCAGCTTTGGGGCCAGAGAAACATTCTCCAGGGTGTCCCCCACTGCACCCTCCTAGGTCTCCATCTCCCTTTCTTGGCACACCAAGAGAATTTTGTCTTCCTTGCCTGACTGAGGATGGATGCCCAGCTCCTCTGAATAGCACTCAGGGATGGGTCCAAAACTGTGGGGAGCTGGTGAATGGAGGGCACTTTGGCAAAACAGGGCTTCACCAGGACGGGGCTGAGAAAGGAGGCTGACTCAGGCCTCCCCGGAGTGTCCCTTGGGGCTTCCTGATACCTGAATGCCATGCCCTTTGCTGCGTGAGTCCACACTCACCTGGCTTCTGGGACTGCTTGGCCTCTGGAGTTCTGGTGGAGAGGGAGCCCCGAACAAGATGCATGGCTAGTCCAGCCCCTGGAAGGAATGTGTTCCTCTGCAAGTCAGAAATGAGATTCTGTTTATAGGCTGGAGGTGTGACCACCTGCAAGAGAGCTACCAGGGTGGGGCTTCTCAGCTGCAAACCGAGGACCATGCTGGGAACTGCCCACCTGCAAGACCCTATCCCGGAGGCCTCTATCCCATCACCCTAGAACTGCTGTGATTTAAAAAAGAAAAAGAAAAGGATCCATTTCACCCATCATGTTCTTACAGGACTGGGTGACCTCCTTCTGGGCACTCGGAGCCTGGAGGAACCCCGGGGGGTACCATGGGGTGGGGGAGCTTAAGTGAGGGCACCCTGCTGGAGAAACGAGCAGTCACAAGGGGATGCAGCAGCCAGCAATCAAAAGGGTGGGGAACTTCACAGGGGGCCCACTGGGGTAAGGGCCTGGCCTCAGTGCCTCTCAGAACATACCCCTGCCCTGTTCATCCTCACTTGCAGGTCTGGTTCCAGAACCGCAGGGCCAAGTGGAGGAAACGGGAGAAGTGCTGGGGCCGGAGCAGCGTCATGGCGGAGTACGGGCTCTACGGGGCCATGGTGCGGCACTCTATCCCCCTGCCAGAGTCCATCCTCAAGTCCGCCAAGGACGGCATCATGGACTCCTGTGCCCCGTGGCTGCTGGGTAAGAGCCCGCACCCTCCTTGGGGCCCTGCCCCTGTGGTGAGGAGAGCGGGCTCCCTGGAGGAGGAGGAGACAGAGCCCTGGGGCAGGGACACCTGGCCACAACAGCCTAGCAGGACAGAGGCACTCCAGACCAGGCCTCCTAGTCTCCCTTAGGAGCCTCAGAGGGTAGGCTGGGCCCAGGGCTTGCTGTCTATCCCCTGTGCCCCCCTACTGAGTGGCTCGGACTCTCATCCCTGCCAGGGCCCTGACTGTGGGTTCTTTTGTCCTGTGAGAAGGGTGTGGCTGTAGCCCCAGGGTCCATACCCTCTTCTTCCCTTGGCCAGAGGTAGGCTTGTGGTGAATGAAACAGCTCCTCTTGGGGGTTGAGGGAACCCCTAAGACCCTCTGGCCACCATTCTGGCTTTGCCCAAAGGACTGCTTCCCCCTGAAATCTCTCCACGTGCCATCTTCCCCCCACCTGCCCTCGGGGCCTTGGTCGGTTGCAGCACCAGCTCATCTTGGGGTTCCAAGATCTGAATCCCAGGAGGGAGGGATGGGGGAGCAAGTACGCTTGGGAAGGGATAGAACAGGCTGCCCGGCGGCCAGGTGCCCAGGGACCTGACTCGAAGAAGCCCTCTGCTGGCCTGCAGCCCCATCCCCTGGCCACCCTCCCGCTGCCCCGGCCCCTGGGACGCGCGTGACTGCGGTGTGTGAAGTAAGGCTTTCTGCTCGTCCTTAATTCTGGCCTCTCTCTATCTTTGCCGTTTTCAGTTCAAGATGGCTTTCCCAGGCGCTTTTCTAAACCCGAATACCAACAATTCTTTTTAGGGATGCACAAAAAGTCGCTGGAGGCAGCAGCGGAGTCGGGGAGGAAGCCCGAGGTGGAGCGCCAGGCCCCGCCCAGACTCGACAAGATGGAGCAGGAGGAGCGGGGCCCCGACCCTCCAGCGGCCATGTCCCAGGAGGAACTGAGAGAGAACAGCATTGCGGCGCTCCGAGCCAGAGCTCAGGAGCACAGCACCAAAGTGCTGGGGACTGTGTCTGGGCCCGACAGCCTGGCCGGGAATGCCGAGGAGCCAGAGGACGAGGAGGCCATGGACGAAGACAGGCCAGCGGGGAAGCTGAGTCCACCACAGCTTGAGGACATGGCTTAGATCAAGGGCTCGCGGATACCAGGCCCCAGGACTCTGCTCTCCTCGGGGCCTGTGGTGTTGGGAGGTGTTCTCTGAGGCAGGGCTCAGGCCTGGCCTCGGCCACCCTCCCCCTGCCCCACAGGCCCCCCATGACTCCCGGGCTGACTTCAGGCACAACTCAGTTCTGGCCAAGGCTTTGGGCCATGCTGAGACACCCCCTATCTAGTCTTGACCTCTCCAGCAGCATCCTCCTCATCCCAACAGCCCTGCCTCAGAAGCCTTCTTGCTGCCCCAAACCACCCCCTCAAGCCACTTTCACTCAATTCCTTGGTGACTCTCACTGTCCACATCCACCCCTCACTCTCTGTTCTCTTGCTTGAAAGAACCCCCGCCCCAGCTCCTTCGCGAGGGCCTGGGCCTGGGCCTCCAGAGTGTGGCCATACTGTCCTACAGGCCCAGGCCCGGCCTCTGCCCCACGCCATCGACGGGGCCCAGATTCCAGGTGAAACTTGGAAGGTGTCATCCTGAGCCCCTCAGCCCCCCTCCATATCACGCCCTCTGCAGTCACCCTCAGGAGCCTGCCCGCCCTCCCCACCCCCAGCCTGCCCCACCGTCCCCCGCAGCATGACCGTCAGCACCACACGTGGCCACGGACAGTACCTGGTCCAGGGCCTGTGTCCCTGCAGCCAGCGGGCCCCTGTCACAAATGCTGTGCTCAGGGCTCTGGTGGGGAGGCCAGACTCTCACCCAGAGCCCTTGGGCCTGCATTCTGAAGCATCCTGACCGCCCCGATAGGCTACCTGTGACCCTGACTTGCTGTGCAAGACACCCTTCTAGAGCTTCTTGCAGTTTATCAGTGCTCATGTATCCTGCCTTGGAGCAACCCAATCCAACTATGGAATGGACACATAGGAAGCCACAGATCTTGGCTCGACTTGATCCGGGCCATCCCTGGGAGGCCAAGCCTGGAACGGGCCTGGGGCTATTACAGGTCACAAGAAGGGTACAAGAAAGGGCTCGAAGCAGAGCAAGGCAGGAGCCAGGGTTAGACTCAAAATGAGCAACAGGCACACGCCCCTGCCAGGTGTATGCTGTGGCGTTCTGTCCACGAGAATAGGAGGGACACAGTGACCGTGTAGGAATAGGGGACTGGGGGCTTCTTCCTGTCTTGCTGGTGGGAGGAACCATCCACCCCCAGGCCAGGCCTATGGCTCCCTCACGCCCTTGACATTTCCCTCCACCATCCCACCCACGTTTGCAGGGAATACCTCGCAAGAGAAAGGCCTGAGACAGTGAGTTTGGATTTTAATTCCGTATCAAAAGTTGATTTCTTCCTCATTCCGTTCACGGAACCCCCCTCATCGCCTTGTCTTTGTCCCCTGTTGGTTCGAAGTGGTAGAGACGGTAGCCCCTGGTGTGTAAATACTGTACATAGAGTGGGAAGAAAGAAACTTGATATTGAGGTGTTTGAAATATGGAACTGTAATAACTTCTAGGTATTCTAAACCTGTGATTTCTGTGCCATTTTCTGTAAAGATACAAGTAAGAATAAAATTGTTGTAAAAACATCAGGGGAGGGATCCAAGAAGCCTCCATGGCTGAGGATGTCTTGTGTGTGGGTAACATAAAAAGTAAATCCGTGAAGACATTTTTAAGTCAAAATTACCAGATTCCTCACTCCAGCTGTAAAGGCCTGCCTTTCTCCGCTGAGCTGACACCACCTTCCAATGACATTTGTCCTGTGATAGGAGACCCTCCTCCATTGTAGACACAACAGAATTATCCCAGCCATTGAGCCCCTAAGTTATTACCTACGATGCCCTCCTGCTCCCCACACAACGGATTAGTTAACCTTTCCCTCTGGTACTTAACTTACTTATTAACAACCCTATTTCCTTCACACCTCATCCCCCCTTGGCCCCCAAGAGTATTGACTCCCTCCTTTTGTGTACATGTGTGCACTCTAAAATCTTGCCTACAACTCAAAGACAACAACAACAAAGGGAACCCACAACAAACAAGGCAGTGGCATCTGGAACTGAAAGTCAAACAAACCTATGCTAAAGCCTGCTAAAGAGAAGGCAAGTAAACAAGAGAAGGCGCGGGGCAGGACTGCAAGAAATTGCCTGCAGACAGAGGCAACCCATCGGCTCCATGATGTGCTGGACGGAATTACAAGAACAGAGGGAAGGAGCAGACCAGATAGGTTATATTTGAGCTTTGGGCTCAAGAAATCTCATAAGATAGTTTCAAATTGCCTCAGATGGGGGAACTCCTTCTCAGAAGAGATTTTTCCGGCAGGCCGTCATCAAAGGGGAGTGACAGTGGTCAGCAGTCCCTGCACCCTGCATTGGGAGCCGGTATAATCCTTCTGGACCCAGAGCCTGCAGGGCACATGTGGGAAATCTCCAACTTTTATGCAGTGAAGGGACAGATCCAAGAGCCTGGCTTCCAGTCCTGCCCACACACACTCCCCTAGGGCTTCCCTGAGCATGTCAGGTCCCCTCAGGTCTCACTGTGGTCTGTTGGCTTAGGAATGCCCTTCCCCCACCCCCTGCCATGGGCACCACTCCAGGAGACTCACTGACACTTATCCCTCAAGTCCTCTCCTCCCTGGAGCCTTCCTGATCCTCCAGGGAGAGTTTATAACCTCTGTTCTCCCCCAGCGCTTGGGACATTCCGCCATCATGACATTGTGTGTATTGTACTGTACGTCTGTAATTTACTGATTTCTTCTAGGGTGGGGATGGTATCTTATTCATCTTTTATCCCCAGGAACCATCAAAGGGCCTGACAATCTACTGTTGAATGAAGGAATGAATGTTCTTCCTCTAACTCATCCATTCAATAATTTAAAAACATTTATTGAGCATCTACTGTGTACCAGGCAGTGAGGCGAGGCACTGGGGATACGGTGGGGGGCAAAGCATCCTACTTGGAGGGAAAGATAGATAGAAATCAAGTAAACACACAAGTAAAATACAAAATTGCACATGTCCTAAGGTCTTGGAGGCACAAGATAAGGGGCCATGAACGCATGTCCGTGGGACTTGAGTCAAGGTGTTGACCTCTGTGCCTCTCTCCTGGGAATGATAACGTCTGTCCCTCCAGGGTCATTCCTCTAGCAAGGAAGCAGCAAGGATATTGGCCAAGGAGCCACATGAGGGAAGGGTGGCCACACCAACTTCTCAAGTCCAGTGGCCAACGTTGGCAGCTGCCCCCCTCGGTTACATCTGGGGGACGACTGGGACACTGAGGGATTTGGGAGATGATAACCACCCAGGGGGTTGACCTTGGGAAGAGGCACACTGCTTTCTGCAGGGGGGACAGGCAAACAAGCCCAGAGGTGATCAGTGAAGGGAGTGGTGGGGACACTGCAGAGGGAGCACACAGGCCAGGAAAGGAAGGGCTTGGACAGCTGGGGACTGAACAAAGGCAAATCTCCCCAAGGATCCCACAACCCGGCACCTGGAAGGGAAACCTTTTTCCAGGCTTCCCAGGCCCAGCAGGCTGCCCAGAGAGGGCTGCGTGCACCAGGAAGAGCAAAAGAGTGATGTAAGGGAAAGGGAGACTAATGCATGCGGGCTGCTGCGCATGGCCAGGCAGGGTTAGATGAGGAGTCTGCCTGGTGGCGGGAGGTGACAAGTGAGGGCAGGAGATCGGAGGGACCCCTGGGGACGGGTCCATCTAGCCTCCTCTGTCTCCTGCACTCCCAGCTCACCAGGGCCTTGAGTCTTCCTGCTGCTCCCAGCAGGGCGGCAGTCCCCTCTCCTCCCCGACTTCCCTCTTCCCTCGGGCCCTGGGGCTGTGGCACCTGGGTCATCAACAGTAGCAAAGGTACCATACTCAAGGGAGATGTTAATCATAGGGAAACCTGGTGAGGGGCTGATGGGAACTCTCTGTGCTATCTTCACATTTCTTCTATAAATCTGAAATTATTGCCCAAAAAATTAAGTTTGTTAAAAAAAAAAAAAAAAAGGTAAACTGGTTTGTTTTCTAGAAGGAAGACGAAGATGGCTTCTTTGGGTTAGAACAAGTGTCAGAGCTGCCCGTTTTCCTGTCTTTACCCCAGGGCTCTGCTTACTGAGTGTCTCTGTCCCAGATCTCCCCAAGATCACCCAGGCACCCAAGACCCACCCTCTGGGGAGCTGAAACTGGATCAAGAACCACTGGCCTCGGGCGCCTGGGTGGCTCAGTTGGTTAAGCGACTGCCTTCGGCTCGGGTCATGATCCTGGAGTCCCGGGATCGAGTCCCGCATCGGGCTCCCTGCTCGGCAGGGAGTCTGCTTCTCCCTCTGACCCTCCTCCCTCTCATGCTCTCTGTCTCTCATTCTGTCTCAAATAAATAAATAAAATCTTAAAAAAAAAAAAAAAAAGAACCACTGGCCTCAACTCGTTCTCTCTCCTGTTGTTTCCTCAACTCAGGCAGCAATGAAGTCTGTGGGCCGTCACAGCTGAGGGGGCCCAGCAGTGATCTGCTCCATTAACTTCTCACTCAGATCAATCCTTTCCAGTGCTAACTCTTCTCAGTGGGCCTCAGCCTCCTCCCCCCTGAACTCCTCGCCTTGGAGCCAGGGCACCCCCAGCTTTACCTGCAAGGCTCTGCTTCCAATTTGGACTTCAGGGGAGTCTGACACAGGAAGGAGTCAGGGAGTGACAAGCTGGCCTCTTGTTGAGCTTCAGAATGGCATAAGCTGTCCAGTGTACCCAGCGTTGATAGTCACCTCTCAGCCTCGCTTGGCGCTCAGGAGGCCCAGAGAACAAATGTGGATCTACCAGGCTGATCATGGTGAACTCGGATGGGAGAGGGAAGAAGAGGGAAAGTTGCTCTGTTTCCTCCACACAGCCCCCGTGAGGGTAGACCAGGGCAGTTCTTACCTGCCCAGAAGTAGAAACATAGGATTAAAAACCCAATCTGGGCTCAGCCAACAGACCTTTGCAGTTGAATGGACGACTCAGGAGTGTGACTGATGGGCAGACTGATGAACATGAAGTTATTAAGACAAGTGCTGAGCTGAACCGGGATAGATAAGGAGAACGTTGGAGGACCAGCATGCCCTCCAACAAGAGCACCACTTTCTCCTCCTCACACACTTCTGTCCACCCGAGGGTTCCACGCAGGAGGAACAAGAGCCCACAGCCCTCCTCCAGGTAGAGACCACCCCTGTGGGTCAGCGAGGCCCACTGCCCAGGGAGACAACCCCAGGAGAAGAGCGCCACCTAAAAAACGGAAGAACACTGAGGGACACCGGGACACCGGGACTCCGGGACACCGGAGTTGAAGCGCAGCCTCTGCTGGCCTCTTAACTTCCTGGGCGCTGGTACACCCATCCTCAAACCTGCCGTGAACAGGACCGCACGGGGATGGTGCGAAGGGCCGACGAGGCGATGAGATTGTAACAACCCAAGTTCCTCTGCCCCACCGGCACCAGAGACCATCACCCACAAGCACCAGAGTCCACTCAAGGCAAGTGTTTATTCCCGAGGCTGCCGGCCTCCTCCTCTAGAAAAGTCTGGGTGAAATACCGCGGCTGAGGGTGGTCCCATTAACCCTTTAGTTACCGGTTTCAAGATGGTGTGCATTAAATTCTATTTCTTCTTTTATTAAGTTTTTACTTAAAAAGGTTTTCCCAGGGATGCCTGGGTGGCTCAGTTGGTTAAGTGGCTGCCTTTGGCTCAGGTCCTGATCCCAGCGAGTCCCGCATGGGGCTCCCTGCTCAGCGGGGAGCCTGCTTCTCCCTCTCCCTCTGCCTGCCGCTCTGCCTACTTGTGCTCAATCTCTCTGTTAAATAAACAAATAAAATCTTTTAAAAAATAAAAATAA